CATCCAGCTTATATCAACATAGTTCTGCACAAATATGAATTCCATTGAATTAAATAACACAGACATGATTAGTGGTTGCTGATGCCTGCTTTTTTATACCTTTTCTGCATTAATCAATCTCTTATATGGATCTTGACAAGGTGAATAGGTTTAAAAACATCATTAATATTTAAAAACACCCTGAGGTCTAGAGAAAAACAAATGCATTAACTTTAAATAAACTGCATATACAATATAATCTGTTCAAATTATACATCTAGGGAGAGCAAGTTCAGCCTTAAAGTTTTAAAAATCTAACTGTTTCCTAAAGATCATTACAAATAACTCAAGATGGCTTAATACCGTTCCTACTGTGTGGGTACTAACTCCTCCAAGTCAAATAAATAATAATTATGAAATAAAATTGTTATGCTTTGCATGTCTAAAGCATACAGGTAATGAAACATTTATAAACAATCTTGTTTACCATCTTGAATGCTTCGTAAGATCTTTTTTTTTTTCAGTACAATCGAGCTTGTTTTTTATTTTGTAGCATTTTTTAATTATTATATAATGATTGTCCTAATTGTCTTAAAACAAATAAAGAAGTCAATAAACGTGAATCCCCCAAAAATGAAAACAGCAATAAAAAAAAAAAAAAACAGCAAGAAAAAGGCTAAAATAAAATGAAAGTTTTATATAATTTTAAGGAAGTACTTTAATTGTATTGTTTTGTAATAAAAATATGTCAGACATGAACTACACAAGCCAAAGCTCTTATTTTGATGGGTTTATGACAGCGGTGGTCTGTAGTCTAAACAACAAAGTGAACAACAGGTGTACACAAGAACAAATTGGAATTGTAAAGTATAAAAGTCTAAAGCTTGATGCTCTTACAAAACACCTGCCAGGACTAATGACATTTAAAAAAAAGAAAGTGAGTCACTACTAGTGCGGAGTAAAGAATGACAAAATAAGCTGGTAGTGCACTGCTATCAACAAAAATATAAAATATATAAAATATAAAATATCACCAAACATATATATATATATATATATATATATATATATATATATATATATATATATATATATATATATATATATATATATATATATATATATATATATATATATATATATATATATACCAATTCAGTGGTTCCCAGCAATAGTCCAGGTTTTGTGAGTATCCCCATTGGAATAAAAAAAGGGGAACCCTTGACCTAATTCATTTCAATGCATAAACCTATATTTGCAGGCAGCACTGCCAGATATAAATTTACATTATGCAGAAACATGAAATGTTTGCATACAAATGTATGCAAGTGTTATTATCCTTATGGGTACAATGAGTACCACAATTAAATCTGCCTATGTATTTAGACATGGAACATTGTGTTTCTTTGTTTTGCAATAAATTTGCCATCTCTAATTCAATCCTATAACCACAAATTAACAAAGATAAACTCTAATTTTTAAAACTCCAGTTAAACAAGGAGCCAAGGAGCCACTCCTTTGTCGTGGTAAAACTTATTTTTTCTAAAATCTGTATGAAAGTAACATGAATAAACAAACAAGCTTGCCTGAAGGGTGTTCTGTTTTGATTTTCTCATTTAAACATAATTGTAGAAAAAAAAAATGAAGCTATTACACTACCTTGTGATAAACAGGTTCTTTATACCACTGTTTCAGTCCAGGGAGCAAAATAATACCTTTTTATTGCAATATTTTTAGAACATCGGATACATCTGGAAAAATATTCAAGCAGATAATTAGATTGCATTAGCCATGTGTCTGTTGCGGTTTCTCTGATCCCAAAGAAGGCAACCCTTTATAAGGCACTTGGCCGCAGTCTCCACGAAATCTGCTGTGTAAATTGGCCCACACTAAAGCATGTGGAAAACATTTTTTGGACGAAATTTGAAACCATTCATGTGGCTTTGAGACAGGGAAGCTCTGGCTGCCAACATCAATAGAACTTTGTACTACAAACCAAAATGGTCGTTTAGACATGTGTACTTTTATGCTTGCAAATGCACTGAGGTCAAATATTTTTTAATCTTGGGAATTTTTCCTCTTTACACAGCCTCATATTTCACGCAGGAAATGAGACTGAGTACAACATGCACAAATCATTGAGACTGACAGACCATATTGGGTTCAAAACCCAAGCTTTGACTCTAATTGCTCTCCAAAGGCTTTTGGCTCAAGGTAACTGTTGATTTAGTTCAGCTGTTTCAAATCATCACGGTAAGGCCTCGCTAAGACAAACTAGTTAGACCGTATTACATTTGTACCATTATATCCCTCAGATGTAACTATAACACAGTTAGCATTTAAAAAATTGCATTTGTCTCCACGCTGCGGGCAGTAATTACAAACTAGCAATTCTTTTTTTTCCCTTTTTGTTTTGTTTTCTTTTAAAGACAGCGTGAGAGTTTCTTTATTTTGAGTGATGAATACTTATGCTGAAGGTAAAAAAAAATCCTTTTTAGTCTTAATAAGAATACTGCTAGTTATGTAATTTTGTGAATTTATATTTCTTTAGATTTTTATGTTTGTTTTTTCTTTTCTCTGCTAAATCCATTTCTTTTTTTAATTCATGTTAAATTAGATCTGTCACCTAAAACAAATTGGATTCATCAACAGGGAATTTAAAACTGCCACAGGGGTCTATCGAATGATTCAACTGAAAATTATAAACAAATTACCCACTTAAACTAAAACGCCAACTTAAGCCAACTTGAACCAGGTAACCTTGATTACCTTATTGATGCAGATTGGCCTTTCAGGGTTGCTCATAGGAGACTTCATTAAGTTACTTGTTATGGATCATGCAATATGATCCAAGAGTAGGGTTAGGAACACAATCCCTCTGTAGAAGTGTTCTCCAAATTATGGCCCTCCAAATGTTGGTAAACTACAACTACAACATTCTGTGAATGAAATAGATAGCCTTATAGTCATGGGAGTTGTAGCTCAACAACATCTGGAGGACCAGAGTTTAGAAAACCCTGTTCTAGAGCATGTGTAAACAGTAAAATATGAAGTAAAAGTAGTTACCTCTTATTTCTTATTTCTTAATACTATCCTTACCTTTTGTGTCACTCCCTCTAGCACGTAAGCTCATTGAGCAGGGGCCTGAACCCCTCTGTTCCTGTGCATCCAACTTGCCCGGTTACAATTTTATGTTTGTTAGTCCACATAGTAAAGCGCTATGGAATTTGTTGGCACTATATAAAAATAATAATAATCATTTCTGACACAATGAACAAAAGGGGGAACCATAGCTATTCTGACCCCATTTGTGTGCACAATGCAGGTCAACACGAACTATTGTTCAATTTGGATTAAATGTGTGAAGTTGGCAGTGTGCCGTACAACTCAAAAGGACTGGTTATAGTTATTTAAATGTATGATAAATACATTGGTGTACCAGTATGGCCACTTTGGAAGTATTCATGAAATTTTAAACCTAATCGATCTCTGACACCTTCTGTAATCTTTGTATATTTTGAGGTAGTAGAAAAAAGTGAGTTTTACTTATCTGAACCTGTATTTTGGGGGCTACCACTATTTTCTTACAGAGGGTCCTCTACATTGACAATGCTGTAAGCTCAGGCATGCCCGAGAGGACCACAATGATGTCTATGGAGGATCCCGCAAGACTGAGCCTTTTCCCCTGAGCGGTCAATAGTGCTGGCTGAGGATTTAACAAAGCTTAAGAGTGGTAGTTCTGCCTTTTTGTTAAGCTTTGTCCCTTCTTTGTCAGGTAGTCCCTACTTTGTCTTACGATATATTTTCTTTGGGTTGGAACTTAAGTGAAATTCCCACCTAGTGTGTATGCATGAATTTATGCTATGTCTTAAAGATTTTATGACATAGCCGTTTTAACAGTGTACCTCATCTCACTAAACAGAAGATAAGAGCAAGAGCAGGGTAAGCCATTGGTCCTGTATTCCATAAAAGTTACCCTTCACTATGCTACTCATGGACTGAGACAACGGGGGGAGTGGTCAGGTACGTTATGTGAAATGGTTGCCCTTGACTACAAAATTTACTACAAAATTTACTAGTACTGACAGGTATTTTCATCCAATGACTCCCATTATTCTCATATACAAAACAATACAGTATAGTGCACAAGCTTGCAGCAAAGACCTCATTGACATGCTGCTGCTTAAAAAACAAAAAAAATTCTTATCACATGGTGCATTACCCAAAGCACAAAATATAAACATCTGAGACAGAAACGAGGAAGGCTGTCCAATTCTGCCCAAAAAAACAATAAAAAGAAAAAAGCTGAGACATTCACAGTTACAATTATTTATATGGTGCCAACATATTCTGCAAAGCTGTACAATAGGTAAACAACACAAACATTTAATTCTAACAAAATCCAAAAATCGCATTTGATGTGCGGGATTAGCAGGTGAAGAGGGCTCTGCTTAAAGAAGCTTACAACATAAAGACACATGGAACAAAAATAAAATAGGTAAGGTAAAGGTGTCATTTTAATGACACATATAAATTAAATAGTAGAAACAAATTTCAAAAGTTACATAGATATGTATGTAGCATGACACAAAATCACACCTGTAATACCTGTTAGTTCAATAAAAAAAGGTATTACAGGGGGCGGGGCCTGGCCATCATGGCGTCTAGACATGTCTCTAGAGAGCTGGCTGACACATGCTATATAATCTAAACTCTTGAATCAGCAATAATCTACAAGCGTATCACTTACTATTTGACTGGTCTTGGAACATGATCCACAGTCTTCTTAACCGGTCTAGACGCAAAACGTAATCGAGGCCTAGCTGCGCTGTGGGAAGGAGAGGCGGACGCTCCCCCGACCTGGTGCAGACGGAGCTCCGAGCATGTTCATAACCCCCCATTGCCCCAACCTTTGGACCGGTGGGGGTTATCCCGGTCACCATCCTGATGGCTCCCATAATCTCACAAAGAGTCGTAACGGTATCGCAGGTGCCGACACTACCGACCAAGATACCTCTAAGATGGCGGACCCCGAGACCATCCTTCCACACAGTGATGAGTCATCAAACACTCTCCAGCACCTGGATGCACTCTTTGCCACATTCTGGAGGAAACTGCAGACCAAGCAATCACTACCTGAATCAGCGAAGACCCCTACGTTGTCCAGTCATACTAAGAGCTGCCCTGTGGCTTTACCTAATGTCCTGATGCGCCTGAGGTGGCAGAAGCTGAGGAAGCTGCGTCAAAGCTCCACAAGACAAACAGAGAGCCGGTGTGCTCTACAGCTGTGCAGCTCCAAGGCAAACATGAGAGATTAGCAGATAGAAGGTATGTTGGCAGGGAAGCTACCAGATATGCTGTTGTGTGGGACTGTAAATTCCCTATGAAGGGGATAGGCTGACCGCCAGGATAAGCTACATGATATATCTCGGTTGGTTGAATGTTACAGTGACATGCTCTCATTTGTTTTTCTTTGGTTATCATATTTATACTTACTATCAGCTACCTGCATTGGCATGCCCCAGGTGTAGACATTAATTATTGGCTGTTAGGTGGTTGGGATTTCTCTAACTTACTACTAGAGCTGTCTGGGTGGTACACCTTACTGTTCTCTACTTTTACCATGTCTATCCACACATGTTACTCCTTCAGTTAAATAGACATATAAGATTTACCTGTTATAAAAAAAAAAAAAAACATGCAGCTCAATTGCATGCCATGATAATGCTTCAATTAAAATATCTGTTATTGCTATGCGTGATATTGCTGTTGTGGCATCTCATGCTTGTATTGTACTATATGCGCAAATAAAATAAAGGTTGACAACAAAAAAGGAGATATAACAAGTAACTGCGATACTTCATGATTTTGCATCACTTTTGGTCACAAATTATTCTCATCTCTACCATACAACACCATCACCATATAGTAGGATTTGCCTTGAGTGTAAATGTTTACAATATTTGTATATATGTACCAGAGCAAATCTAAGTATAAAATGATATAAGTAATGGATTGCATGTTTTATGTCAATAATATTGCGCAAAACCTGTTAACCTTGTTACACCTCCTTGACTTTCAAGTAGACAACAGGTAATGTTACATCCTGGTTTTGTTAGCTCAATGCTGCTGCCTCAAGAGGCACAATTGCCCAGAGCACCTGACTTACAAAGACTTCTTATTGAGCTCTACAGGGAGGCCTATAATAGGACAGCCACAGAAAGTTTGGGTGGGGTTAGAAGGAGAGAGCTTGCAAAGACAGGATACAAGAGATATTCATGTTTTGCAAGCTGATTTTAAATATATTCCCAATGAACAGGTGCATTGTTAAATGCATGCATCTTTTCATTTTGGGATATATCTACTATACAGTTATTTTTATTTATTTTGTATTTGGGCAGTGGAGTGTCACCTTAAGGGCCCGGCTATTTTTAATGACAACGTTTTTTACAGTTTGCTGGAATACTTTATGGATGGATATATGAGAAAAAAAGCTGTAATTATTATGACCTCCTTAGTCATCAACACAATGTGGATTTTATATTATGGTTTATGAAATGCTTTGCATTTGTGGATAGATCAGAGTATTTAGAATAATGAGAAAAATGTACCAGTGTATAACAAGGGGAAATAATGCCTGAAGCAGAACAAACCTTTGAGGAATGTTTGACAATGAAAAGTCTAATACAGTAATCAAAACAATATTACTTCCATACTTCACTAACTCACTGTATGTGTTGTAAACTGTATCTCCCCATAGTAAAATTAAACAGAATGTGTGTTTTAGAAATTTAAAGAGAGCATATACCCATAAATAATTAGGGACATATTTCGTCATTTTTTATTTTGTTGTAATTGTTTTGTCTACAATTTTGTTTTACAAATATTTATTTGTGTACCCTAACAATGCAAAGAGAATATTAATTTGGCTTTTCATGCACACCACGAGCAAGTGAAGATAGTAAATTATGTATTTTGAATTTGCAATATAATCACTCATTCTGTCTTCACTGTTGCCTGTGAAAGGTGATTGCATGTTTAGCAAGAAACATTGAGCTGTTCAGTCAGTGTACTCTATCCTCGATAATTGAAAACGTATGCAAATAAAGCCAAGACATAAAAGTACCCCTTCCTGTTCCAATCACAACAAATCCACGCAACCCATCACTGTCCTTGTTTTGCAGCATATCAGTCAACAATATAATATATAATGTTTTCCAAATTAGCAAATAAAACAAAGCAAAAAAAATTAAAACTTGTGCATTTTCTGCAGGTTTATCCAGGTTTTGCAGCGTCTGCAGTGAGGTCTGTTAGGACCAAGTAGTAGTTCATGAATAGGCATGTTTCAATTATTTTGAGAGTGTGCTGTACAACACATATCCCCTAAACCCTTACATAGCAGTGTAGTTTATAGAACATGTGTTTCAGGGCTTGAAATTAGCTCAGACAGAAATCTTATCCTGTAGCTGGTGTTGTGCATGGGGACGGGGTAAGAAGCTTATCCTGTAGCTGATGTTGTGCGTGGGAAAGTGATAATAAAGTTTGACTACTAAAAATGGAGGGAAGAGGGGATGCCAGGGCATGCCAGGCACCATTATTTACATAGTTACAAAGTGTGCTGTAGCGGTTGTGGTGATTGCAGTGTTCCTTTAAGGCAATCTTGCAAAAACATATTGCCTTATATAATAATATGTATGATATATAATAAAATATGTCATGCAATATAACATAAATTGCAACAAACACACTGCTTGAAAATTATGAACATGAGATTTCTTAAAATTAAACATAAAATACATAATACTATAGTACTATAATCTGAAACAAGACTTAAATTCATCAAGTTCCATCAAGCTCTGCCTTTTTCATTTTTGTGCATTTTGTTTAGACAAATTCACCAAGACAACACATAAATGAAAATATGTTTAAATCTAATTTTGGCCTAAATGATACTCTATCAATAAATATTTGTTTTATTATCTATTTCCATCAGTCAAACCTAATTTCATACTTTATAACTTATGCCATGTTACATACACAATGGTAGTTGCACTAATATTTTATTAAATGTAATTAGGACAAGGGTTAGTTTGTCCAAATCGAGTTACAAAATTGGGAATGAACAGAGAATAACCAGGCAGATAATATAAAAATCTGACAAGCTACAACTCACATGGATCTCTACTGGTAAATAAAAATAGCCCCCATCAAGGCTAAAAATAAATAGTATAAAGTAAGGATACTAAATCCTAAACGTACCAGAAAATTTATGATGCAATATTAGTATATAATAAAGGAGAGAATTACAGGAAACGTGCTGCGCAGATGGGGAAATGAGATAAACAGTGAACTTGTGAAAAATAAATATATAGATAAATATCTAGATAAATATCTAGATCCTTGATAAAGGATAAAAATAAAATAAAATAAAATCAAGGTATATACTAAAGTCCACAAGCAATACCAATATTATTGGTACAATGGTTGAGAGCCAAAAGAAAATTGTATCAATGGGTAGCAAATAACAATCCATTTAATAAAAGTCTGTAGCAGTGAATGGCAAATGTTTGTAGCAAAAATGTATCAGATCTATAAATCACAGAATCCTATTACTGAATAGCAGGATCTGGATAACTTTGGCTAAAATATTATTACCTATATAGCATTGAACAGAATAGGTATAATGTCACTTACAGAAATTAACAATACCTGACCATATGCAGTCTCTTATATTGGTTGATGTCTTGAAATCTAAAAATAAAAAAAATGGAAAACGAGTTCTCTGTTGGTATTTTATTGTTAATGACACAACGATTAAAAACACTTACAGGATCTTTGGAATAACAGACATATAACTGGAAATGCAGTGGATATGGTCAGAGGAATTGGAGAGATGAAAATATGAGGAAAGAGAACACCATGTAAGTTGACACTAGATCCACAACTAACCGGATTTCCAACAGAAACACTCCATCTCCCCACAAGAGAACAGAAAAAAACAGACCAATACTATCTACCCAGAGGAGATAAGACCAATGGCCCCACAGAATTCAATACTGGCCAATTTTTTAGGCCCCAGAGGGGAGTGTTCCTTATCTCCGAAACGCACCTGGAGAGAGAGGAAACACCCCAACTGGTCCCCAATACAAAGAAGTAAAACAAGAAAAACACACCTTACCACAAAGCCCAACAATGGGGAAGCCATTGTAGTCTTCAATCTATCAGATCATACCCTAAATTAGGAAGAACTCCAACTCCTCCAGAAGGGTTTGAAGTTTGCCCCTAATTCTGACAACTCTGCATTCAACATGAACATAGATCTTCACAAATATGTTAGGAAATTAAGTCTCAAAAGATTATTTACAGAAAATCAATTTAACTCTAATGAAGTGTCCATTCCGTATGAACACATCAACCTACACCCCAAATCAACTTTTTATCCCAAACAGGCGAAGAACGACTGTGGCAGACCTCTCTGCCTCTGGATTGTTATTTGAGACCATTTCGTCTGTTTGTTTGCCAGTTCCCGGTTGTTCGTGTGTTCCCTGGTTGCATTCCCTAAAAGACGAACGAACTACCGAATGGCGGGCCCCCCAGCAGGGAAGTGTGCTGCTTGCTAACCTTTTTGCCCTTATTAACACTGCGGTTAACCGCAGCTATTTCCAACTCCCGAATGGTCGGTGGGTGGTCGTCGTTCGTATGACCGAACACGTAGCGGCAGCCATCTTGGACAGTCGAACGCCCAGCAGTGTTCATCGACAACTACATGGAACTAATTTCAGACACTGTTTCCCATGAACACCGCTGAGATCACCAACCAACCATCCATCTCATTGTTCCAGTTTATACGAACGCCGTGGCGTTCAGTATATTGACAATCCACGAATGGAACTGTCCCAGATAGTTAGACCCATGGAGCTCATTCTTTCTGAACACACTTTAGCTGCATAGCGATTTGACTGTATGTATGGGATCTGAGCACTGTTTGGTTATATTGAGCGCTCAAATCCAAGCTATCTGGGGATATGTCGAACGTGGGGGTTCCGTTCAGTAAAATAAGACTTATGTATTTTTATGTGTTTTTCAGTTATTGTAAAATGTGGATATTCTCTATACCTGGAGGTAATTGAGTTACTTCAGTGCTCTTAACCCAATTATCTCCAGGATAGAGAGGAGGAGTGGCACTGTTTGTGTGGGATTGTTTGTATACTGTAAATGCATATGATTGGTTACTGTAAAAATTTCTCAGTCTTCCACAAGGTCCCTATGGGAGTGTCCCTTGCTGGAAGACCTGCATAAA